GCACGCAGCTGGCGAGCGGGCCGAGGAGGCTACGGGCGCGTCGAGAGGTGAGCCGCGAGCGGCAACGAGCCCGGCGGAGGAGGCGCCTTCCAGCCCGCCTCGGCAGCCCCCGAAGGGAAGGCAGGAGACGCCGAGCGCGGCCCGGGCGCCCACTCGGCGCCCTCCTCCTCCTCCTCCTCTTTCCTGACGCCCCGGGAGGGTTGCGCGGGTTTTTTTTTCCCACGGCGCCCCCCCCCGTGAGAGACCGAGGCGGGAGGGCAGGGAGACCCCGGCCTCGCCTCCCCTGGACAGGCGCTGCAAAGCCAAACAGAGGGGGAGGCACGGGTTTGCATGTGAACGTGCCTCATCACGTCGGGGGGGGGGGGGCGGGGGGGGGGGGGCTGCCCGCCNCGATGCCAGCCTTTCCTGGAGGACCGGCTGGGCGGAGAGCGCCCTTGATGCTCTCCCCCTCCCCGTCGCGCCACAAGTCCTTTAAAAAAAAGGGAGCGCTCTCCTCTGCCTCCCCCCCACCCCACCCCTTGATGTGGCATCCATCCTCCTCCAGATCTTTCAAGGGCAAAAGCTGCAGAACAAGACAAACATTTCACTGGGGGCAGCGTCATTAAAAGCAAGGTTTATATAGTGTAATAAAATCTGATCGCTCTGGGTGATAGGCTAATGAGGCCTTCATTAGGCCTCGTTTAGCTAGCCTTTTCTTTCTTTACTTTTCTTTTTTTTCCCAAGGTGCACCTGACAAGCTGCTTAGCCTAGGACTTTCTCATGCCCAGAATCTTCTGGTATAATAGGATGTTGGTCATAGATTTCACTTTGTTCCTGAGGACCACATGAGATGGGGGGGTCGGTGGCAGAGTGGCAAAGATCACCAGGGTCTGGAGATCTCTGGAGCTGCACAGCCCTGTGCATATACATTCTTGCTCTGTTTGGTGGGGATTGTTTGCAGGTAACTTGGGAGGGCTGGTGTGGTTTAGTACTGGGTAGAGTGTTGGGCTGGGATTTACTAGTCCTGGATTTAAATCTCCACTCAACCTTGGCAACTCACTGGTGGTTGGGGTCAGTAAACCAGTCTCGCTTGCTTTGAAAGTCAGTTTACCAAAAGTGGGAATAACTTGAGAGCACATAACAACTTGAAATAGGATTGAGGCTTTGTCCTTTCCAGACCTTGATAATGGTGGGAGTGGATAGCATAAGTTATCTGATTGCAGTCCAGCTGACTATCTCCTTTTCACTCCTAATATCCAACTGGCTTCTCTGATTGCCTCTAAGTAAACTCTTTGCAAAACAGACCACTTGATGCAGGGAAGAAGTGTCCAGACATGCGTTTCAGGACTCTTGGTTGCTAATTGATGCCTTTTAAAAAGGCGATCTGTGTCATTTCATTGCTTCTGCACTGATAGCTGTCTTGAAATTGTTCAAGAGGAGTATTCTGCTTTTGCTGATTATTGCACATGGTGGTTGGGTGCAAAATGATTTAACCAAAAGGGAACAGTGTGTGTTATCACTAGGTAGCCGGCTGCCCGAGGTTTTATAAACAGGCTATCTTGAGTGGAGCACTATGTCTTGGGGTAGCTCAGTCAGGAGGAAAGAGGTTCTTTGCCTTCAGAGGTTGATGAACTACTATCCCAGCATCCCTATTATTTCCTGGCTGGATAGTATTCAGCAAAATCAAGAGTGTCACAGATTCCTCTTTTTTATTCCATAGAAGCTCTCTGTGAAAATGTCAGTTTGATAGGAAACTATATGTATCCTATTTCAATGATTATTTGGGAATTGTTTTCATTTAATTATTTACATGACACTATTACTATAAATCAGTTACAGTGTGATTTCAACATTGTCCATTATGTTATCTGTTCTTTTTTTTTCTTTGAAACTATTTCTTTATTTTCTATTTCTGAGCCTCCTTAGAAAAATGTGTTTTTAAAGAAGGGTTATAAATACTTCAAAAAAAGAACAAAAACAGGCAGGTACCTGCCACCAAAGAATTTTCAATCTAAAATAGACAATGGCTATATTTAGATGATAGACTAAACCAGAGGTTGTCAACCCCCGCATCCCGGTTCTGATCCATGGCCTGAGCTGGACTGGGCTGCAGAGACAGACCTCCCACCCACCCCCACAGCTGCTTTGCACACACACACATGCATGCCAGCGTGAGCGTTCCCTCACCCCTTCACGCATGCGCCCGAGTGCCCGTGTGAAGGGATGGGCTGGTACGTGGGCAGGCGGGCATGCAGGTGCTCCTGCGCATGCATGAAGGGGTGGGGGAGTGCTCACACTGGTGCTGGCAGGCGCACACTTTGCGCATGTGCCCAAGATCATGTGCGGATGTGCCCGTGCAAGCACAGGGGGGTGCCCCACCTTCCTCAGAGGCTCAGCCAGTCTGCGGTCCCAAAAAGGTTGGAGACCGCTGTAGTAAACCACACATTAATGTGACATGAATAATGTCTGTCCTCCTTTTGGGTTCAAACACTTCTTGTTCTTTCAGCATGGCTGGGATGAGAATTTCGGAAATCTTTGTTTCTGCTTTGAACTGTAATTTATTCCAAACTCTAAACTATGGCTAAAGTTTTCTGATGTATGCTGACTCTTCCCAGGTCAACATACATCAGAATGTATGGGACTGCACAGCGTCCCTAAGTCTACACTGACTGGCTCGTCTCCCTACAAGCAGGGATATTTTGTGGCACTTTTGAGAAGAAAATGAGAACAAGAGTGATTTTATGCAAACTAGGGGAAATTATACAAACTGTTTTAGGAGAAATTGTGTAAAATGCAATTGCGGCTACTTTATCACTTGGACTTCTAAAGCATGGAAGCACTGAATGGGTTATTTGCTTCTTCGACAATCAGCTAGACTTTCTTTGCTCCTTCTCTGTGTGTGCTTTGCTTGTCAAAAACAAAACATTAGTTGGATAATTTATAGAGACCTGGACAAAAGAAAATAGCACTCATCTCAAGTCCATATGGAGACAGAAGGCTAGAAAAGTTCCTCATCGAGAAATATCGTTGAGAGAAGACAACCTAAATCTGTGAGGACAAAAAATTTAGCAAGTATTCATCACTTCCCTATTCTGATTAAAATTAGATAACTCTCCCCAGTGTGCGTTGGTGAGTCCCACCTGGCCACAGACTATTTAGCACTGGGCTGAAGAGCTATGTCTGTTAAGTATCTCATTACTCCCCTACATAGCTTTCTTTCTAGACACTGTGGGAAATTTCCATGAAGGAAAATTGTACAATATAGTTGTTCATTGTTCAACAATTGGTTTCAATCTTGTAATTCTGTCTTGTTTTGCAAATAGATTGAAAAAACAAGTAGAACTTTGGAAAGAATAAATAAATTTATGTAGTGAAATTATCCAGGATCAGGAGAGAGGGAAGATAGTTTTGCCTGTAACCTGTGGGCATGTTCATCTGCAAGTAAGCCTGAATAAACATTGTGGATTTACTTCCAAGTAAACATGCATGGGCTTCAGCTGTACATCTCTCCTAATGAACTTGTGCAGACATTTGCTTAGAAGTAGTTTTCAATGTGCTCAGAAGAGGCTTTTTCTCTTGCATGTACATTTAGAATTGAACCCGAGGAGGGTTTTGAGTAGATAAGCATAGATCTATATTGTCAGTCTAGAAATTGTTCTCAGACACAGGGCAGAGAAAGAGTACAGACTATAGCTCCGTTTATCTTTGTTGTATTTTGTTGCTGAATGCCATGAACTAGCTGGAACATTTTAATCAGTAATATTGCCCCAGTATAGTGTCTCACTCAGTGATCAAAATCTGAAATTGCATCTGTTGCAATACTTTTGTAACACACAATGTAACTTTACATGGTTGCATTTTCCACTGTTGGAGCAGAAACGTCTGGAGGGGGTGGGGGAGTTTTGTCTATGGCAACCTGTTAATTTAATTTTAGCATCACTTCTCTCAGAACTGAGTTTGTTGCATTTTTACTCTAATATTTTTCAGATATTTTATAATCAGTCTTCTTTCTAACAGCATAATCCTATATGTGTTTACTTGGAAGGAAATCTCATAGTGTAGTGGTCCCCAACTTTGGGCCTCCAGATGTTCTTGGACTACAACTCCCAGAAGCCTTCACCACCACCTCTGCTGGCCAGGATTTCTGGGAGTTGAAGTTCAAGAACATCTGGAGGCCCAATGTTGGGGACCACTGTCCTAGTGAGTTCACTAGGACTTACTCTAAGTGAATGCAACCTAAATGTCTTTTTATTTTCTTAGACCATACTCCACGTACCAATAGGCCATCTTAGCCCACAAATTCACCTGCTTAGTGAATGAATGCCTGAAAATTGTTTCATACTGATAGTGCAAGCCATTGTTGCATATATAAAACTTCTCTTGGTAAGACTGATACTCAAGTTGATTTTAACTGGGATATTACCCTCCCTGGCTTGCTCTGCTTCCTTCTGTCTTGTCTTGCAAAAGGGCCAGCCTGCATGATCTAGATATTAGCTCAGACACAAAGTGAGCATATCTTTATTCTATCTGCTGCTTGTACGTGTTCTACTTAGTGAGATACTCTGCATTGTTTCTTAGCACCTGCAGCCCTTCTTAGTGACTAACACCTTGAGAAGAGACGTCTTTATCCTGCTTACAATGCTACTATAATACCTCATGTCATCTTGTACAACTCATCCCAAGCATCTTCAGCTTTAACCCTAAGGCACTCACCACTCCCAGTATTATATTGCTGGATTGCTTCCCCACAAGAATTGAATCAAGCATGGTAGGATTTAGCAACTTCCTCTGTGGTTAGTCTGATTTGTCTACAATACTAAACAAATAATGTGTTGGACATTGAGACAATGAAACATTGTCTATCCTGTTGTCATAGCAGCACTGCAGGCAGGATGTTGGACACAAAAACCTTAATACTTTGATATTTAAAAGGGAAGTGTCTACAACATGGATTTTTATCCCAGAAGCTTGGGGCAAAATTGAACATTTATAGCAACTATAGTTTGAAAATGGTTGTCTAATTTTCTCTTGAATGTCTCCAGTATTGGAGCTCTCACCATCTCCAAGATAATTGGTTCCATTGTTGTACTGCTCTAACAGTTTTTCTGCCATTGAATGAAACGTTTATGTATGTGTTGTATTTAGTTACTTGTTCAAAGAGCTCTAAAAAGAAAGTTTACATTCAGTGTTCATTTATTTGGACTATTCACAGTAGGCATCCTTCAGTCCCAAGAGACTATGGTAACGTGCTCTGAATAGAGGTCTTGGAACAGCGTCTAGTGTGGCTGAGAAGGCCAATTCGAGAGTGACAATCCCTTCCACACTGAAGACAAATACAATCTGTCTCCTGTCCAGCTCCCTGATTTTGCTGGTTTCAGGACTACGTCTTTGCCTCGGCCTGCTGAACAAGTATCTCTTCAAATTGGGAGAGGCCATGATGCACCGCCTGCCTCCAGGATGAATGCTCAGATGTCAAGGTTTCCTATTCATTGAGGTTCATTCCTTCAGATCCTGCTTGCAGATATCCTTGTGTTCATTTATTTGGACTATTACTGCTGCAACTAACAGGTCTTCCAGAAACAAAATATTGACAAATAGCTGGGTATTTCATAATGTACCTTTTGATTTTTAAATTGCCCCCACGATGGGATAAAATAGTTCACATTTTCTCATAATTTGCATGGGTGAGTCACAGTTCCTGGACAGAAATCTGATTTCATCTGTGTTCACTGGCCAAAATGATTGTTGACCAATACTTAAAGCTTACATTGAAGAGTGACTCATGTCCTCAAGCTTAATCAACACAAAAACAAATAGGGCATTATTTCAGTGACAAAACTACAGTTAAAAGAACCAGACATTTTAAGAGTTAAGAAACTGTTTTTCTTCCTCACATCCTAAATGTCTTCAAGAAACTCTTTTTCCTTCACAGGTCCTAAATGCCTTCCACTTCTTTGCACTGGTTATTGTAATACAGTACATTCCAATGGAGGATACATTGTATCGTTTAACGATGTTTCCTATGGGTTTTTTCGCTTAAGGACGGCAATCCGTGCCTATTGGAACGGATTAACCGGTTTCCAATGCATCTCTATGGGAAATGGTGTTTCGCATAAAGTTTTTTTCGCATAAGGTTTTTTTTTGGAACCAATTAAAAACGTTATGCGAGGCACCACTGTAGTTCTCTTTGCTTCTACATGACAGTTGCTGAAAACTTCATTTAGAGTTCTGGCTCTCTTTCTGCCATCTTTTACTTTTGTTTCTTGCCTGTTCTTTCCGATTATAACTGTTCCTTCAGTCAACCATCTAGGTTTTTGTTTATTTTTTCTGCAGAAATTGTCTTTTTGCATTCTTCCCTAATATCTGATTTCAATCTACAGTTCTTCTGGTTCATATTTATTTTATTTTACTTATTCATTTATTTCATAGTCAACTGAATTTAGTAATGCAATTCTGTTCCTTATGTGGACTTTAAATTCATGAGGAATTATGTTTATATTTTGGCACTACAATTTTTTTAGTATTCTTTTTCAGCTATAGTCTAATGTTAGATATTAACAGTTCAGTTCCACAATCTGGTCTTATTTTAGCACAGAGAATACAGCTTCTCCACCTCCTGCTTCCAGTTATGTAATATTTTTGATTTTTTTATTAATAGTCTTGTGATGTCCATGTGTACCACCATCTGTTCAGTTGTCTGAAGCATGTATTTGCAGTTCAGAAATTGTTGGTTTTACAGAATTATGAGTCATTTTCCTGCTTTATTTCTATCCCCTTTGCCAGATTTTCCAACAACATTTGTTTCAGCTTTGTTCTCTACTTTTGCATTCCAGTTATCTATGATTATAACTAAGGATGGATAATTTCAAATGGATGAATAATAGTTCTGGTGGATAATTTCCTCCTAGATGCTTGCATAAAAGCTTTCCATTTCATCTTCCTCAACATTGGTAGTTGGAGTATAGACTTGAATTATTGTTATATTGATAGGTTTTCCACAGAATCTGATTGATATTATTCAGTCAGATCTTGCATTATAACCCCTAACTGCCTGTGGCACATCAGTATTGCCTCAGTATTAAAGCCACTTCATTTCTAGACTATAACACTTTGTAGTTGTCTGACTGAAACTATCCCATGTCAGTACACTTTAGTTCACTGAAACCAAGCACTGCAATGTGTATACATTCCATTTCTTGTTTTATGGTTTACTTCTCACATTCCATGTTCCAATTGTATATCTTCTGCAACACTGGACTTTCCCTTTACTTCTGTGCATGTCATCCACTAGATATCCTTTAATTTAATTGCATAATTAGTGGCAGAGCTATTCACACTTTTCCTTTGCTCTTCCCCAGTAGCTGACTGAGTTCTTTCCACCCTGAAACTGTCATCTCCCAGCACTATCTCTTGTTTCATTTTGGACTGTCTCATTGCAGGGTCTTCATGGTAAAGAAAGTTCAGCGGGGATTTACAATTGCCATCTTCTGCACAGTACCAACAGAAGTCTGGTACATACATAGTCTAAAATCTAACATTCTTTTCTCTCTCTCTTGAAAACCATAGTTTTTTCTCATATGCAGACTATTATGTAAAATCAGTATGACAAAATTCCTGTATAAGTGTGCGTAGGTTTGTATCACAAAATGCATACAGTTAATCAGCTGAAATCTGTGAAGCCCTGTTGTTATAAATAAAGGGTATTGGGGAATAAAGTCAGAAGAATAAATGCCATCTTTCAGTTTATTATGCTGTTTGTTTGAACTTTATTTAGGATTACTACAATCTCAGCTCATTCCATAAATAGTGTTCTTTAGGATCATGTAATATGCTATGATCTTCAGTGGCGAGGAGTATTCTATGTCCATTTATGCATCAGAATAGTAAATAGCCTTTGCAGCAATCCTAAGGACAAATTGTTAAAATTGTAAACTGAGATACCTTGATCCCAAGTGCTTTGATTTATAAAGTATCTGCCTGCAATATAAAGTATATTTACATGGAAATAAGTCCTATCAGGCTATTAGTATAAAAACTGTTTGCACTTCATAGCTCTTTTGACAGCTGCATTGACAGCTGGTATTGTTGCTCAGCCAATTATTTTACAGAACAGGATATAATAAAACTCAGTATCTAATTTCTTCATCAGTTGTATCAGACTGAAAGATTCATGGAACTTACAGAGGTGTGTTGTGTCATTTCTGCTTAGCAGACAAAGATATGGATCTAGACTCTCTATGGGGAATGTTCTCTCCAATGTCTTCTGCACAGAATTATAGGGAAAATTCAAGGGGGAATATTCTGTCTTTTACAGATTCCAGCAGGCATCTGTGAAATATGTATTTTCTTCATTGTTGGTGTCTGTTTAATTAATTGAGTGCTTTCTCTCATATTTATTTATTTATTTATTTATTTATTTATTTATTTATTTATTTATTTATTTATTTATTTATTTATTTATTTATTTATTTATTTATTTATTTATTTATTTATTTATTTATTTATTTATTTATTTATTTATTTATTTATTTATTTATTTATTTATTTATTTATTTATTTATTTATTTACTTACTTACTTACTGCCCATCTGGCAGTCAAGGCCACTTTGGGCGGTTTACAACAAATAACAAAAAACAACAGAGTAACAAAACAGCAAAAGGCTATTCTCTCTCTCTTGAAAACCATTGCTTTTTCTCATATGCTGATTCATGCAGACTATTATGTAAAATCAGAACAGAACATAATACTCAGTATCTAAATTCTAATTTCTATAAATGTATCATTGGAACTAATTGTGCTTTGCACTATGTAATGGAGATATCTTTCTTTTCCTGCCCCACTTACTTGTGCTACATCCCATTCCATTCTGGAGGGCTCTGCAGCCCTCAGGAGCAGGCAAAGGGGGATTGCAGTGAAGAGGAGGGAGATTGAAAAAGCCCTAGTCCATATGCAGAAGTCTGCCAATGGGTTAGAATCCAAACCATTATATGTGCTGTTTAACATTTACAATTTTTGGTTTAGAACAAAATTGCTGGTCTTATATGTGAAGTAAGGTATATTAATGCAAGGTATATTAACACATTTTCCATTTTCTTTCAGGAAACATACCTGTAATCTGAGCCTGTTGAGATATGGAATCAATTTCTATGATGGGAAGTCCTAAGTATCTGAATGAAACTTTCTTGCCAAATGGTGTAAAGGGTATCAAGGACACCAGTAAGATGTCAATAGGGATAATTGGAAGTGGGGACTTTGCCAAATCCCTGACCATTAGGCTTATCAGATGTGGTTATCATGTGGTCATTGGAAGCAGAAACCCCAAGTTTGCTGCTGAGTTCTTTCCACATGTTGTGGATGTCACTCATCATGAAGATGCTGTAGCAAAAGCAAACTTAATTTTCATTGCCATACACAGAGAACATTATGCTAGTTTGTGGGACCTCAAACATCTGCTCGTTGGCAAAATCCTTGTGGATGTCAGCAATAATGTGAGGATCAACCAATATCCAGAATCCAATGCAGAATACTTAGCATCCCTTTTCCCCGATTCCCTTGTTGTCAAAGGATTTAATGTTATTTCAGCCTGGGCATTGCAGTTGGGACCAAAGGATGCCAGCAGGCAGGTAAGTCCAGGTATCTGAACAAATTAAACAACAGGAAAGAAGCAGGAAGACTTCCTCACTGATCTTGATATGCATAACTTATTTTTTATGCCTGCTTTCTGAAATAATACAGTGGTATAAGAACACTGGTCTAAACTTTCTGTTATAACATACTCTTCATTATTTGGTCCAATTTATTAGTGTGCTTCAGGTGGCACTCGGGAAAACCATAGCAGGAGAATGACAAAGCAGCGCAACAGCAACACTAGAAAACTTTGTGCTGACTACAAACTGTCATGAGTGTCTAATTATAGTTAGAAGCAAGAGAGCCAGTGTGATGTAATGATTAGAGTGTAATGGACAGAGACTTAGGAGACAGATGCTCATTTCCTCAAACAATGAAATTCACTGGATGTCTTTGTGCTGGTCACTCTGTCTTAGCCTGCTCCCTACCTCACAGGATTGTTGTGAGGATGATGGGGGGGAGGATGTGTGCGTCATCTTAAAGTGCAGGCCTGGCTTTGCCTTACTTGCTTTGTAGTGGATTGTACTTTAGTTACCGTAGCCTTGGACAGGATCAGGTTGCTTGCCTTCAAGACCAAGCCAGCTTATTCAGGAACATTAATGTTCTGCAAAAAGAACTCACATCCCTTATTTAAAACTAGCTAAATGGAAAATCTGACTCTGAAATAATTTGTTTAGTCATTTATCAAAGAAAGTAGTTATCCAGGGATCATTTGACAGATGTATTTTCTATAATAGTCTTTCTATACTACAGATTACAATCCCACCATCTTCAACCTTGGTATGAGGGAAAGGCTGCTGTATAGAATGCTTCAGTTTTCCATACAGTGGTCCCTACAAAATAAATTAACTCAATAAATTCACATTTAGAGTTGTCGTAACATGTAGTAGTATCAGGAGAGATGAAATATATATAGTCATGTTATCTTTCTTAGCAGCTATAATTATACCAATGAAAAAGATGTATAGAAGAATAAAATAGAAAATGAGGCAAGCTTTTAAAATAAATGCCTTCTTAAAATAGACTCAGAAGGATTTGAGTTGTTTTTTCCTATAACTGGTAGCTTGAATTAAGAGCGTGGACTGTAGTTTGGCAATGCTTTTGCTGACTTATACTGTTGTACAGCCATATACTGTTGTGCAGAATTTAGTTAATTCTGTTCTGTTCTGTTTCATTTTGGTTTTGATTAGGTATACATATGCAGTAACAGTGTTCAAGCTCGCCATCAGGTTATTGAACTTGCCCGTCAGCTCAACTTCATTCCCCTTGATTTGGGTGCTTTATCTTCTGCAAGGGAGATTGAAAATTTACCTCTTCGACTGTTCACACTGTGGAAAGGACCTGTAATAGTAGCTGTGAGCTTGGCCATCTTCGTCTTCATTTATTCGTTCATCAGAGATGTCATCCATCCTTATGTGACAAACCAACAGAGTGATTTCTACAAGATTCCTATTGAGATTGTGAACAAGACGTTGCCAGTTGTTGCTATCACTTTATTGTCTCTCGTGTATTTATCAGGACTCTTGGCAGCTGCTTATCAGCTTTTTTATGGCACTAAATACAAACGATTTCCACCCTGGTTAGACAGTTGGTTGCAGTGCAGAAAACAACTTGGATTGCTTAGTTTTTTCTTTGCGGCAGTGCATGTGGTATATAGTCTCTGCTTGCCTATGCGAAGATCAGAACGGTACTTACTGCTAAATATGGCTTATCAGCAGGTAAGGAAACAACTCTCATTCAAGGTGTCTTAATATTATTACATGTATGATTTCTTATTAGAGGTGTGAAGGTTTGGGGGGAAAAACAGAAACATTTGAAGAATATTTGGTCGAGGAACATAGTCGTATATTCAGACAAGGTCCTTTTGCAACATGATGGCAAAATTCAGAGTTTAAGAGTTACTTTTTTGGCCATGCTGGTTGCGGGATTCTGGAAGTTATAGTCCATAACAGATTTTTTTTTCAAGCTCTGGTAAATCTTGTTCTTACAAAGACATAGATCTAATTATTCATGATGGGGGGTATCAAGCTGTGAAATTTTGTATGTATAGTGTGTTAAAACAATGGTGGGGGTAGGAAAAGGAACCTTGAAAATGAAAGTGCTTTTAAAAATGAGGTTTTAACATTAATTTACTTCAAGTCACTGTAAAATAATCCGCTCCACCTGAGTCTGGAATAAAGGTCACTCTATACTGTACAATTCCTGACAGTTGAATGTGTTTACAAATGATAGCCATAAACAAAAGAGAGAATTGAAAGTGGACGGAAATATATTTCATTTTCAGGTCTAATGTTTCTACAGCTCTTAATTGTTTGAACATGTTATAAACATAGAATTTCACATCTTGACATTGACACTTTGAGTAGGTCCACTGTATCAGTAGGATTTACAAAGATGTTGACTTAATCATTTTTCAATTGATTCAATGGAATAGAAACTGGATTTAGGCCATGGTGTTTCCAGTGATCTCCTATACTTTTTAATTGCTGAAAAAATGTGCCTCCTTTGCATCTGTAATGCTTTAGCATCTGTTCTTCCCAGAGACTACTCTCAGATCTTCCAAAACAAGAAATTCTCTCATCTGCATAAATCAAACTAAACAAACTGTCATATATTTTGTTACATGGCATAATTTATTCTCCTTCTCCTAAACCTCCTCTGCTTGAAATCCTCCTCAGGTGTGTCACATGGTCTGTTAGTTGCTCAAATAACTACAACTTATTTTGTACAATTATGGTCTTAAAGTTTGAAAACTTTGTTCCCTCTTTCTTCAGGTTCATGCAAATGTTGAAAATTCTTGGAATGAGGAAGAAGTGTGGCGAGTTGAAATGTATGTCTCCTTTGGAATCATGAGCCTTGGGCTGCTGTCTCTGCTGGCTGTAACCTCTATTCCTTCAGTAAATAGGTCGTTAAACTGGAGGGAATTCAGTTTTATCCAGGTGTGTATTTTAGCAAAATGTGAGTTAGATATTAGGCTGCAGAGCCAGAGATTGGGAGATTAGTTCTCACTGTGCCTCCTGGGAGAAAAGCCAGCCCATGCAGCCTTGGGCAAATTTCCAGTTTCAGGGTGTCCCCAGAAGAAGGGAATGGTGAACCACTTCTGAATACTCTCTGCCTAGAAAACCGTGGAAAGGAAGTTGGAATTGACTTGATAGCACCTTATGATGATGATGATTACATACCAAGTACTGTACAGGCAATCAAAATTATAAAAACACTGGCTGATATTATATAATAGATATAAGTTTTAACCAAGAAGCTAACTATCTTTTAAATGTCGACATAGTATATGTGCTGTTCCTCATATTGCCTTTTTTTCACTCTGATGATTTTATTTCTGAAATCTGCGACTGCTTATAATACTGTGGGAAATTTCTTGATATTGTCCCACTGAGGCATGTGTCATCCACAAGTGAGATACTTCTATTGCCAGGTCTCTGTATTGTGTCAGTTTTTCCAATTCTTTATTTGCTACTCTGGCATCTCCTGGAATTGCAATGTCAATTATCCAGATATTTCTTATTTCTTAGTTATTTATTGCAGGGCCTTATTCTAGAATCTAGTAGCTTATTGGGCCACCATAATAAACTCAAAATGTGATGCTCTAAGAAATTTTAGAATGCTGAAAGGAGGCTTTTGCTTTCTCCATGACCCCTGTGTAATGTTCACTGCTAAACTATTCTGAACCTGCCTGTACACAAAATCAGGTAGACAACTGTTTAAAATATATGATAATTATTTTTGTGGTGGTTTGAGAATTTTTACTTAATTAGATGTGTCTGCTAATCAGGACTTCAGCATTTTAATTTGTGTTTCTTTTCTGTTCCCTTCCTCACTAAGTCTACACTTGGATACGTTGCTCTCCTTATAAGTACTTTCCATGTATTAATTTACGGATGGAAAAGAGCCTTTGAAGAAGAATACTACAGATTTTACATGCCACCAAACTTTGTTTTTGCCCTTGTCTTGCCATGCACAGTAATTCTGGGTAAGGTCATTTTGCTTCTGCCATGTGTAAACAGGAAACTGAGACGTATAAGAAGAGGATGGGAAAAAAGGCAATATATGGAAGATGGAACTGGTTCACATCCATCACCAGAAAGGATTACAGTCATGTAACTGTACCATTGGCCCTGTCAGCATTGTTGTTTGGTTCATATCACCTATGCTGTAGGTTGAAAAGTCTAGGGTAGTTAGTGGTATGTGGCAAACTATCAGGAAATGAGCAGTAAATGTGCAAGTTGACATAAAATTTTAAATAGGGTGCAAATTGTTTCAACACAAACTTGCTGCATTGTGAAGGACATATTTTCTTCATCCACTGATTCATTTATCCACAGTCTGAAAATATTAAAAATATTAAAAGAAAAAAAATCAAGATTTTTTTCACATTACCAGAACCGGCACTAGGGGGAGCCAAATACCATGCTATGTATACTTGTTTACAAGCATATATGATCTCTGGTGCTTTCTAGTGGCCAGTTCTGGTAATGCATGTGAAAATAAAAAAATCTGTTTTTCCCCCTGTCTGACAGATCATCTCTCCCCCCCATCACAACAATACACCCATAACAAAAAACACCCTGATCACCATATTCACCCAATCTCCTGAAAAGGACAAAAAGCTGATCCCACAGCTACAAATACTCAACTATCCCACACACTGCACCAGAACATAGACAGAGTTCGAATTCCTGTCCTCTGAAGATGCTGGCTACAGAGACTGGTGAAACGTTAGGAAGAAAAAACATCCAGAACACAGTCAAACAGCCCGAAAAACCTACAACAACCATTAAAAAATATATTTAAAAGCATAAGTAATGGCCCACAATCCCACAAAATGAATCAAAAACGCAAGTTCTAGGAATACATGTGTGATATGGGAAAGCTTAATAAATTACTTCCATTATAGGTCATGGTATTATGTTTAAAACATTGATACTGGTAACATTACCAAAAGGAAGTGTCTATGTTCAGTATAAGGCTTCTAGTAGTGCATTACTCTCCTATGTTTGTTCATCCTTTCTTTCCTTTTCCATTTGCTGAGTACCAGTACATGAAGTAAGATTCACTGGAGAAAAAGCAGTTTTTCAGGGAACAATTCATCCTGACTTATTTGCATCCATAATCAATAGCAATCATTTGAAAACTTCAGCGGTATTATCTCCAGCAGCACTTGGGCATCCTGGACTTTGCTGTTCTGCGTTCAGTATGTATTAAATAGTATTTTGCACAGTTTATCACAAGACCAACATTTAATCCACCTTTTCTAGATAGCATTCTTATCTGGCAAACTATTCCATACATTGGAAGAAATCCTGTTGCACAATTATGCAGTGTAACTTTTAAGCGATGAGTTACCATAAGTTAAGAAAGCCATTATCTGTTGCACGCCACATCATATGATTTAATATGCAACAAATGTCTCTGGAGATTCTTTAACTTATGGCAATTCACTTCTAGAAGTACTGCACAACAAGGTTTCAGCCAATATTTTTAAGATTCATTTAAATCTTCACAATCCAGCTAAACGTTTCCCTCTGCTGCTGTTAGTTGGATAGTGCTGTCCCGTATATGGCCAAGATTTTGTTGAAAACCAACAGTAAATGATTATATTATTTATTTATTTAAAATATGTTTACTCCACCTTTCTCCTTAAAAAGGACCCAAGGCGCCTTACGACATTCAGAGACAATATTTAAAGCTAAAAACAGGATGTAAACACATACTAAAAAGGATCAAATACCTCACACAAAAATTGGAAAACAAAAGCAACACCAAAAACATATTCAAAATCAGCAAGGCATAATAATCTATTTAAAAATCCCGTTCAGACAGCCAGTAACAAAGGAAAGCTTGAGCAAAGAGAAGGATCTTTGTCTGCTTGTGGAAGGACAACAAAGATAGAGCCAGCCTGGCCTCCTGTGGGAGGGAGTTCCAAAGTCTGGCAGCAGTGACAGAGAAGGCCATTGCCCATGTGATGATGATGGGACCGAGGGAAAGGCCTCTCCTGATGATCTTAACACCCAAGCAGACTCATAAAGGGAACATGGTTCTTGAGAGAGCTTAGACCCAATCTATTCAGGAATTTTTAGGTTAGAACCAGCACTTTGAATAGAAACTGCAGTCCACAAATCTCTAGAAGCCATCATCATTTGTTCACCACAAATCTAAGTATGTAAATGTGCATAAACTCAGATAAACTCATACTGAACAGGGCCACATTCCATGGGTTTTCTAAATTTTCTTTGAGAGAAAATTTGAAACATCTTAGCACATGCTTTATGAAATTCCTATATGTATATGAGTACACACATCTTTGTACATCCAGCATTCACCTATTATACAAGATAAGATAAAGTGCACTGATCTGGATGCCATTTTAAATCTGGATCACAGATGTATCTTATGTAAAATTCTGTTCTGAGTTATTTTCCAAATTGTTTGTATAAAAGCATAGAGTGATTCTTTTATTTTATAAATTATTCAAATAATTATATTAATAAAATTGTATTTTTGGAAAAAAAATACTCAAATATTTATGCTATTCAAAAGGTTTTGTCACAAGTTAATAGCTTTGGCTCGAATACATACAAGTCCTTTTCATGTGTATAAATAAGCCTTACAAACGTACAGGTAGATACAGGATTGCAGTCAGTCTATACAGTTCAGTGTAAATTAAATATTGTCAGCTAGAGCCACTATAGAGTAGTGGTGGGCTCACAATTACAGTATGATGTTAAAAATAGTTTGTCAGATCAATTTATTTTGTGCTGCTCCAAAAACAGTAGTTGCCTAAATGTTAGTAGGATCAAGTATTTTGTGAAATAATCAATCGTGCTACCAAAATGTACATGCCATAGCCATATGCAGATCAAAAAGATACTGGGTAGCTCCAAATTCAGGTATATAAAACTGAACATGAGGAAGTTAACTGTGAAACCAGGGGTTGGGATATCAGTTCCCCACTGGGTCTCCTTGGCAGGGGCTGGACTTGGTGATCCATAGGGTCCCTTCCAGCTCTGCCATACTAAGATTATTCTAAGATTATTCTTATTATGGGGTACTGCAACACAGAAGGTGATTAAGATTATTCTAAGATTATTATTATGGGGTACTGCAACACAGAAGGTGAGGGAACCCTGATGCATGAGATATGCAAAGTGCAGGGTGCTTAGGTAAAAAAAAATATCCTGCAAATTGGGCAGAGGCACTCCTAATGAGTGAATCTTCACCCAGGAAAGGTCTCTCTGAGGGAGGGGTCCCTTGCTCCTTCCTCCCCCATTGGATAAGGTTTAATACCCTGCTTTGTACTTTGAAAGTAAATTACACCTTCCTTATTCAATTGTAATGGAAAACTTTTGTCTAACAAGGGCCAAAGGTTTTTCATTACACTGAATTTTTTAAAGAGAAATGGTTTATTAAATTAAGAACATTATGCTGAACTTTGCATAGATGTCTCCCAGTATTTTCAGTGGAAACTATGCCAGTGTCACATATCTGAGATTGGTGATAAGCCATACAATAAATAAGAGCTTAGATATGAATTGTTTATATATTTTTAGAAAACTTAAGATATATATTTTATCAGTTTCTTTTGAAAATTAATCCTAGTTTATTTCTTGTTACTATGGATATGAAGCTGTAACATTGCTCCGATATATTTCATGTGTACAATTCAAGATAGTTCCTATGCAGTCAAAAAAGTTTTACAGCCCATTTGGATCTTTTGTTTTCCATACAGTAGTTGTAGAAAGTGCACCATCACCCTGTGATTAAAGTGCAACAAATGTTTTCTGTTTTTTGTGTGTTTTAAATTTCACAGTGTTGCTTATAAACTGTAACTGATATGCTCAGAAAAATTAGTATTTGAATTTATTAGAGTTAAATTGTTTACATGGCTGTAATTATAAAGATCTAGAGATGGGCACAAACTTTCAGTTGTTCACCCTGTTGTATTATTACGTCTCATATGATCTGTTAAAATCAGAATAAACATCCTTCATTTGTGGAACTCAGGTTTGTAGTTTAGTGTTCATTCATTATAAAAGCAGTCCGAATACGAGCATAAAGGAAAACAGGCAAAATTATGGGTATGATGCATACATACAGAAATGTGACCTTTAGTTTTCAGTGGCTTTGAGACCATAATCTGGTACATTCACATAGTACTTAACAGCAAGACTAACTGAATTAAATGCAACTTTAACAACTGGTTATAAATTTGCAAAAGGCCCATGCATTTATATTGTTATAAGTGTATGTTTAGATTAAATATATTTCTCATTTTGCAGGAGGGAAAAGAGACTGAGAGATTAGAAGGTACTCAGAACCATACAAGAAGTTTGTGGTTGTGTGAATAGTACCTGATCTGAGCAAACCAAATAACTTGATTCATTTCAGAAGTCTTGAATAGTATGGAATATAATAATATGTACAGCAGTACAAAGTAACAAAGAGAAAATTACACTGGCTTTTTAGACTGATGTTGATGATATCAAATAATAAAAATGACAAGTGTAATAATAATAGTAGTAGTAATAGTAGCTGGGTGAGGTCATCAGAGGGTGTGAGGCTTTGTGTCATCAGTATGTTGATGACACTCAGCTCTACATCTCCTTTTCACCTACCTCAGTGAATGCCATTCCGTCCCTTCAACGCTGTCTGGAGGCTGTACTACGATGGATGCAGGAGAATGGGCTGAGGCTGAACCCAGACAAGACGGAGGTCCTGAGGGTGGTAGCCCTTCCACTGGCTGTTTGGGAAACTCCCTCTCTTTTGGGGAGGTGACTCTCACCACGAAGTGAGGTTCGCAGCTTGGGAGTCCATCTGGATCTAGTGCTTACCATGGAAGCCCAGATGGCGTCAGTGGTCCATCTGTGGCGGATTGCTCAACTGCGTCCCTATCTTGATGGCGGGGCCATCATCACTCTGGTCCATGCACTTTTAACCTCGAGATTAGACCACTGTAATGCGCTCTACATGGGGCTACCTTTGAGACTGATGCGAAAGCTTCAAATGGTGCAAAATGCAGTGGCCAGACTTCTTAGTGGGACGAGAAAATACCAACGTATCTCTCCCACTCTGGCTGCCTTGCATTGGTTACCCATTCATTTCTGTATTGATTTCAAAATGTTAATGATGACATATAAAGCCCTAAATGGTTTAGGACCTCGATACCTAGCAGAATGCCTTCTCCCACCTAGATCTACTCGAGGCACTTGCTATAGCCAGGAAAGATGGCTGAGGGGCCTAACGCCAAGGGAGGCCTGGAAGGAAAGAACAAGAAACTGGGCCTTCTCGGCAGTGGCCCCTCGACTTTGGAACAGCTTGCTGTCAGAGATTTGCCTGGCACCCTTGCTGGGTGTTTTTAAGAGCCAATTAAAGACTTGGCTCTTTAGGCAGGCCTTCCCTCCTGTCAATACTTAACTTTTACTTCTTATCTTAGCTTTTCCCTCACATTACCCATCTTGACCAATACTAATACCATTGACTCGAATTGTTTTAACTGTTTTATATGTTTTATTGTAAGCCGCCCTGAGTAGACATTGTCTAGAAGGGCGGGATATAAATCTAATAAATGAATGAATGAATGAATACTAGTAAGAGTGGTGTTCTAACACAGTGGTTCTTAACCTTGGGTTACTCAGGAGTTTTGGACTGCAACTCCCAGAAGCCTTCACCACCAGCTGTCCTGACTGGGGTTTCTGGGAGTTGCAGTTCAAAAGCATCCGAGTAACAAAGGTTAAGAACCAACAAGTAAAATTCCTAAAACCATACAGGAATGATGTAACCTCCAATGTAAGTTGCAAAATAATTTTTAAAATGGATGACACAGTGAACCAATGTGAGCAATGTTCATCATCCCACATATTTCATATATTTACTTGCTTTCATAGCAACACACAATATTTTCTTGTTAATTCTCTCTTCAGTTGTATACTGTCTTAATCCTCAATTGTATACTCTTACCCTTTTGTCTCTATTAGGCTTTCTCGTATTTTTTTCATATAAAGCTGTTTTATTAATATCAAATTTAAAAACCAGTACCACTACCTCCCTTTTTTATTTTTGCCTTTAAGAATATAGCCCAGAATCCTGTTGGGGGAAAATGAATGGGATGATGGAATGATAACCATGGAGGAAATTCTCCCCTTTTGGCTTGGTGTCAATCACACAACCACCAATGCAATGTTTATAAAAATGGTTACTTGACCAGTCCTGTGACAGACCCCTCCACCAATAGGGGAAATTAATTGTGCATTTTTCCATTCATTGAAGTGCACAGTAATATTCAGTGAGATGAAGTTCGTTAAAGTGTACAACTTAATTAGAGGGATGGCTATTAATAGTTATTCATGCCAAATGTCATCTTTATCTTAGCTTGTTGAGTGGAAACTTTTTCAAATTTGAAGCAAACATTTTTCCCCTTTAGGATTGGATGTTCCATAATGTGGAACTTTCAGAATATGGCACAGACTTTCTCTTCAGGAATATCTTAGTCATTTTGCAATGCCAGGCTGGTTGACAGCATTTGGCCAGAAAAGCGTGCCTCTGGAAATACCTTTATCTAGTTAAGAAAAGCATTATACAGTACTCCAAGACACCGTTTCAAACATTACTGTCATGGCTTCATTCATCCCAGGTTGGCTCTGGAGAAGCGACGTTCCGCGGAATTCGGAGGCTTCAACGGTCGCGCCTCCCTTTCAGAGCCTCCAGCGCCCAGCAACGTAGGATTCTTGAGTTCAGGAAGACCTGTAGTGTATGAGAAAAACGGCCCGTCTCCTTTGCCTTCAGGGACATCCATCCCCTTGACTGTGTATTAAATACCATATATGTGGGCGTGCTAACAGGGTGTTTTTTAGAAGTCGGAGACCGTGAGGAATGAAGAGGGGAAACGGTTGGAGGCCGGAGGCCTCAGCCTCCCTTCCCGCCAAGGAGCGAAGTGGGCGCCGTGCTGGGCTGAGGCGAGGGAGTCGCGGTGGCGCCCTTTCCTCTTCCTTGCCTTCTGAGCGCCGGAGCGCGTCTCTGAGGCCCTGCCTTCCCTCACCGCTTGCCCCAAACACTCCGGGCTGAAAGTTTATTTTTCCTTTCCCGTTCCCTCAGGGCTCCCATCGTTAGCTGGCGACTCAGGCTCCCATGGCAACCGCGCCCGGCTTGTGTTTGTCGACGGCTCGGTTACCAGCTCCGCGGAAGCCGGACGCGGCGCTCCGATTAGCGCCTGAGGCAGGAGCCCCCAAACCAGACCCATGGCTTCGCTGGCCAGGCCTGCCGTTTTGCCGAACCTACTGGTTCCCTCCTCCGCCGAGAAAATGAGGGTCCTCCTGCTCTCCTCCAGGCTGCAAAGCCCCTCGGAGAGCGACCTCCTCGGCGGCCCTTTCGAGCAGGTGAGGGAAAGGGGGGGAAGAGAGGGGAGAATGAGGTCAAATCCACTGTGTGATGATGATGATGATGATTATAGGCACAATTATAAAAACATTGACTGGTATTATGTAACTGATACACGTTTTAACCTAAAACCTAAGTATCTGTTAAATATTGGCACAGTAGGTATGCTGTTCCTAATACTGCCGTTTTTTGTAGCTCTGATGGTGTGATTTCTAAGATCTGCAAGGGCTTATAGTACTGTGTGATGATGATCATGATAAAATACCAGGCACTGTCAATAAAATTATAAAAACATTGACTAGTATTATATAACAGATGCAAGTCTTAACCAAAAACCTAACTACTGTATCCTAAATAAGATACTTCTCAGAGCAGTATGTATACAGTATATGCTGTTCCAAATACTGCTATTTTTTTGTAGTTCTGATGATATTGTTTCTGAGATCTGCAACTGCTAATAATATTGTGTGAAATTTCTTGATATTGTTCCCAAGTTGTTGTCGTTGTTGTTGTTGCTGCTGCTGCTGCTGCTGCATCTCCCATGTCACAGACATGGCAAGCCTAATCCTTTGACCTCACTCATCTCATCTCAAACATTCCCCACACTTCCATTGACCTCCCACTGCTACAGCCAGTCTCAGCAATCAATTGGGCTGTTTCTCTCTCTCTCTCTCCAGTTTTAACCAAATATTACTACTACTACTTCTACTGTGATTAATGTATTAAATATTTTAGATGTTTTCCCAGGCCACACCCTCACATGACAGCTAGAAGCAAGCTCAGGAGTCAGTACAAGGCACGATGGCTGCAACATCAAGCATACTGCATATTTGGGGGTGGGGGAGGGAAGGATACCCTATACTTTGAGGAATGCACAACAGATTGTTGTTGTGGGTTTTTCGGGTTCTTTGGCCATGTTCTGACGGTTGTTCTTCCTAGGACCACAGAACAATCCTAGGAAGAACAACCGTCAGAACACGGCCAAAGAGCCCGAAAAACCCACAACAACCATTAGATCCCGGCCATGAAAGCCTTCACAAATACAATGCATAACAGAGTTTGTCCAGTTTCATTTTGAAGGGCTTTCTTGGCTCCAGAAAGAGTCTTGGAAAAGAGTCTGAGATTTCTTCCCTCCAACAAAAATGGTTTAATGGGGGGGGGGGAGAACTATCATTATTCCATCGATGGGCATAGTGCTGTAGAAAATATCCTGCAAGCGGTGGCCATGGGGAGACAACAAAAAAAAGGCAAAGAAAATGGAAGCAGAGCTGAACAAGGGGGGAAATGCATGTGTGGCAGTTGCATGTGCATTTGATTATGGTAAGGTAGGGTTGTTGGGCGGAGCTTGGAAATAATTGGTTATAAATACCTAGTTGGGACTTAGTGAGTCATACATTCATTTTTTCAGCAGCTAAAGTATTATTTCAAAACTAATAGGCAAAATGGTTTGAAATTGAGTGAGACATGCATTATTATGTACATATACAATGCACATTCACCATTTATATGCTGCTTAAATAAATCTTTGTAGGATAATCACTTGAAATCTGTGGATCTTGATCATGTTATCAAACTGCTTGAAGAAACAGAATCAGTAAGTATGACCAGAGATTTACAAATTTTATACCTTAAATACTTTTACTTGGATTTCCATTTATTTGAAAGCACAAGCCTACGGTTCCAACCATATACCACTTGTCTATTTGTACATGTCAATGAACTTGGCGGGAGTTACTCCTTAGTAAACATGTATAGAACTGTGCTGCTGGAAGGTGAATTTCACTTTGAAATTGAACTGTTCTTAATGGAAAGGATATAGACATGTGCTTCGTTTGCTTACTGAAATCAGTGAAACTAATACAGTACTGTAATCTGGTGCATGTCTGCTAGGAAGTAGGTGCCATTCAGCTCACTGGGACTTATTCACATGTATAGATTTGCAGACTAAAAGTGCTTAATTTTTTACCCAGTAATTATGTATAGACTTACAGGCATTAATTCATATGAACAATTTAAAAGAAATGAAAAACTTCCTTCCCTTTTCCTTTTGCAAGAGAGTGAAAAGGAAGCTTTCAATTTCTCAAGATTGTTAAGTGGCTTTAGTAAAGGGACAGCCAGGCAGCTGCTTTGGTTCAATCCCTGTGATCACACACACAGTGGAAATGAACCAAAATGGAGTGGTGCTCCACATGTGCATGCACAAACACACGAAGTGTGGGAAAGGACCCAAAAAGGTTCAGGAAGACATCAATCAGGAGCAAGCTGGTTCACATTATTTCATGTGGTCACTAGGTAAAGGAGCAAATCAGCCTGTCCTCAACCCAGACCAAACCATGGGAGAAATGCCTCGCTAATCACACCCTAAGTTGCAGTTAAGAGTAGTTTCATTTGAATAAATGGAACTTACAGAGGAGTAGACCTGTTCTAGTGAACAGGTCTACTCCTGTTTACTCATTTACTATTTAGGTCTACTCATTTAGGTCTACTCATTTACTATGTGAAGTGACAGGATTTGGGCCAATATGTTTCCAGTACTTTATTATAACAAGTTTACATACTAAGAAAGGCATCAATTGATATTTCTGAATTCTATTATAAAAATCAGAAAAAATATTAATACATTTTATTAATATTGCAATACAATATTATAGAGAATTTAGGCAATGAAGATTTTAGATACACATGTAGCTTGCGTCTCACATTTTTGTTGATATTATTATTATATCTTTACTAAAAGTTTCTATATTATTTTGGAAAAAGTTGCCATGAATTGAGGCCTGGATAGTAGTGGGGGAACCCAATTGGCTAATACAGTGGTGCTTCACACAACGATTGCTTCATACAACGATGAATTCACACAGCGATGGGTTTTTTTGAGGAGTTTCCCCCATCGTTTAACGATGTTCTCTATGGGGGAATTTCACTTAACGATGTCCCTTTTTGCTCATTTAAAAGTGTCTTAAAATGTTTGAAACCTGTTTTAAATGCTTGGATTCCATAGTGCACCTTGTGAAACATGTGCAAACTTAATTTGGTTTTGTT